TAGTAAACCATAGTTTATCTTCCACCACCCGCGACCAACCTGCACCTGGCTCCGAACCCCAATCCGCACCACCACAAGACAATGATCAGAGAAGGCAACTAGAACCGACCAAAACGAGAGAACCGACCTCTCCCACATGTGAATACAGAACCTATCTAGACACAAGCCCCAATGACACAAAGGTATACCCCAAAGCACCCCCCTGCACCACCGCCGCCTCGTCATCCATTTCCGTGTGAAGCACAGAAATAGGCGTCCACTTGGTAATAAGCATCAATGTACCCTTTTACAACAGGCACGACAGATTCAAAACCCACCTGAAAATTCTACTCCAACACATGCAAAACATCTACATCACTAACATTATGCTCTTGCATAAAAGCTACATCCACCCTCTGCTCATGCAACACTGACGACAGCCCCTATTACACAGCAACCCAACGTAACCCATTCACATTCAGAGACGCACACGTTAGGAAAGAAGCCATTGGAATGAAAACCAGGAATCCACCAAACCCTCAGACCCCGGCTGGTCCATACATACTGACACGTCACTGAAGGAAGCACCCTAGCCTCCACAGCAGCCCCAGGCACCTGAGGAAGACACCTCTGAGGGCTGGGATAGAGACCCCTTCCGCAGACGCAAACAGACAGTGACCACCATGGTCGAGGTCACAAGAGGGAATCACGCCCCACCCATGCCCCTCCAAACTGGAAGGCTCATCCCCCCCCACCATAGACAGAGCCACAACACATCCTGCACTCCCCAGACCCCTCATGGGCTAACTCAGGCTTCACCACACCACCACCACACTCATGAGCCATTGGCTCAACCCTCTTGACAGGCGTCCCACGTTCCCGGGACCAAACCCGCGCATCTCTTTTGCGGCACTGCAGCGGAGCGAGAGGTAAATCCAGGATCGATGACTCCAGCGGATGAAGCAAGGAATGCACTATCCCCGATGAACCAGTGGCCTCCAAGACAAAGGAAGGGGGACTGACAGCACCAGGGTCAGCAGTCACAATGCCGGCACCACACACTACTGACGGCATAGGCACCACCAGAACACCCACTTCCATAACCACAGCAGCAGGCATAGGATGAACGGCCACACTCGCCCCTTCCACGGAGCACACAACCCCTCCAGGGGTAATTACAGAAGCGGGGGACTCCACTGGCGGGGCAGCCGCAACCGGGTTTACTACAACAGGAGGCCCCCTCTGACGATGACGCCTAGGCAGCACACCCACGCCCTCCTCGTTATCCACCGAAGCCTCCAGGACTTTCAGAGTGGAGAAGTCGCACCCCCGAAAAAGGTTTATCCCAGCCTACAGACCAGCACGGCATGACACAGCCATATGGCTAGCCAACCTGAACCGAAAACAAGTGCAAGTTTGTCCAGCATAACAACACCGGAGATGGTAGCCCAACAGCTCCATAGAGGATGGGACAGGATTCTTCATGTGCAGCATCAGAGTCTGCACCCCTCTCAGCTGGCCAGAAGACAACACGTTAGCCTGGTGGAACAGAACACGCCCATATCTCCAAAAAAACTGCTACAGCAGGTTTGCAGGAAATTTAAAAGGGACACCATGAACACTGATATAGGTAGGCGTCACACTCCGATCAGATACCGCCACAGACCCGGCATCGCCAGTCATCGGGAGTGTGTGTCCGGCAAAATCATCCTCGAACCTCTGGAAGACCGCAGGGGACTGGAATTTGACCACTGCCCGACGGTTGGACACCTTCTGGATCCCAGTCCACCACGTCATCACGTAAAACATCTACTAAAGCCTCCTTCACAGCAGGTCAATCCATAACCCCAGAGAATTCGTCCTACCATAGTCACTTGCTTAACACCGGGCAGAGGCAATGCCATCACGCCGGACTACACCACAGCCCTAGGGCCTCCTCTTTACCCAACCCGTTCTCGCACTTTCTTAGTCATTATTGACTTATTAAATAAGTACATATGTGACATACTAATTTATTGTGAATATTTTAGTTTACCTTGAAAAGCTTCATAGAAAACACCGACCTTACCTAACCTTCTTAGTATGTTAAAATAAGCATCTTATTGCTTCGTAATTACAATTATTACTTAACCTATACCTATAATAGGTTATGTTGACTATACGAAAGTGCGAGAACGGGTTGCTTTACCACCAGTAGACAGCCAACCACCACACTCGCTGGGTAACAACTACGGGGTGCAGTCGAAAGTACCTCACCCTCTAGCGGGCGGGCAGCGAATTCCGGTCGTGGATTGAACGTCGACCTGCAAGAAATGAGGCTGTTACACTCCTTTAATAACAGAATATTAGATGGTTGATATACTTAGTAAACTTTGTAAACGTATTTACATTCTTGCACCCAGAATACGCACCTACTCTTCACATTTTTATATATTAAGAAAGAGTTATAACGTACACATGATAATTTGTTAACATTAAATAACATTGCCTCGCACCCAGTTATATTGGCCATTCAACGTATTGACCAAGTATCGGTTCATTACGTCCGTCCACAATGAGGAATCTCACCGTTCAACAAGCATGAGGAGTCAATATTTCTGACCAAGAACCACTTACTGGTGTCCACTCACAACGAGGAATCTCTCAATGTCTACCAATCGTTTTGCCTCATAATATTTTCACCTCACTCGGGAAAATTGTTGCTTCTGTGGGGAGACATGCCTTCACTTCCACAGACTGCAGGGAATTTCTCAGACGTTGACTCCCACTAACGTCAGTAGTTTCAGGGCGACAAACTCAACTACTGTGAAAATACTGTTTCACAATAGTCCAGTTTGTCACCCTGAAACTACTGTTACTGTTGTTGGGTTCCTCACCCTGAAAGAGGCGTGCCGTACATTTCATAACGCCTCTTTACAAAAAAAAAAACCACGAACATTCCCTCAGTGGTGCGAGCGCATAGTGAGGGAGTTGGGAGTGGACTCTACACGTGTTCAGTAACCGCGTGGAACCTCAGCAGAGTCAGCAGCATGCGCAACTTGGCCAGACATCTCAACCAACATCATTACCGCTGTTCTCTGGGTGGCGCGTTATGTTTGGTGCTGGTTATCTCTTATGTTGTGCGCTTGTTATCCGTTATGTTGGGTGCTTGTTATGTTATGTTGGGTGCTTGTTATCCGTTATGTTGGGCGCTTGTTATGTTATGTTGGGTGCTTGTTATCCGTTATGTTGGGCGCTTGTTACCCGTTATGTTGGGTGCTTGTTATCCGTTATGTTGGGCGCTTGTTACCCGTTATGTTGGGTGCTTGTTATCCGTTATGTTGGGTGCTTGTTACCCGTTATGTTGGGTGCTTGTTATCCGTTATGTTGGGTGCTTGTTAGGTTATGTTGGGCGCTAGTTATCAATTATGTTATGTGCTTATGTGTTACGTTGGGTACCTATTCGTTCTCTGCTATGCAGGTTCCTTGTTGTTCTCCACGGCTATACAAGAAGACCCTTAACTTAGCCACCACAAAGTAGGTAACAAGACCCTCTCACAAAACGCCACAAATTAATCTCCAGCCAACACCGTTAGCAGTGAGGGTAGTTCGGCGATAATACCTATGTGAATGACCATCTATCACCGCCCACACCGGTCCCACCTCTCAGCCCTGTCATCCTGGGGCCCCTAGGAGCCCTGGAAACTCAGGGGGCGCTGTTAATCCTAGGATTTATGTAGGCTCTAGGATACCTTGAGCTCCAGTGAGTCCTGGCGGGCCTTGAGACTCCCTGGGCGTCAGTGGGATCCTTGGGAGGCCCTGAGAGTTAATGGGAACCTTTTTGGATCCTGAGTCATCAAGGAGCACTGTTGAGGCTCTGGGAGCCCCTGGGAGCCCCTGGGAGGCTCTGGGAGCCCCTGGGAGGCTCTGGGAGCCCCTGGGAGGCTCTGGGAGCCCCTGGGAGGCTCTGGGAGCCCCTGGGAGGCGCCGCCGCTCTCCTCGTCAGGATCCGACACTGTGACCACCAAACTCAATTCCCGTAGCTTCCCAAAACACGAGGAGCACTAACAGAGGCGTGACGCCGCGCTAATGGTTAGCTCTGCACGCTCTTGGTTACTTCTTGGTTACGCTGGAGGCTTCTCCTCCCTTGGTTCTGGAGGCCTCTAGCCTTGAGGGGGTTCTCTCTTTCTCTTTCTCTCTTTCTCCTCCCTCTCTCTCTCCTTTCTCTCTCTCTCTCCTTCCTTCCTCTCCTCCCGTCGTCACCCCCACTTACCCGCTAACATCAGTCAGCCTTAATAGTTACAATCATGTGATTTAAAAAAATAGTAGCCACGGGACATTTAATATGTGATGAAGGTGAAGTTGGTTATTTGAAGAGTACCCACAGTGGGGTACTCTTACTCTGTGTGTGTACACCGAGGTGTACCCTTGCTCTCAAAGTACACCTCGGTGAATATACAGTTTGTGTATACACACCGAGGTGTACCCTTTTTCAGTGTATATACCCCAAGAGTTTACTTGGTGGGTGGTGAGTAAGGTGTTGTGGTGGCCTCAATACCTTGCAGATGTTGGTATGACACACGGCTACCACTAGACCACAGGCGGGATCCGGGAGCTTGAGAGTAACAGGTTCTTAATATACTCCTTAACTTCCATACTTTTCTTAACTTCCCGTGTCTGGTTACCGTCATCTCTTATGTTTATTTGTTATTATTAAGTAATAGTTTGTATTTTTTACATTTTTATTGTCTTATCATTGTTTATTATTATTATTTTCTATTGTTTATAATTATTATTGTTGTTTATCAGCATTGAACTGGTATAGTGTTTGACCAGACTACACACTACAAGGTGAAGGGACGACGACTTGAGAATGGTCCAGGACGGACCGAAACGTCGTCTTCCCTTCACCTTCTAGTGTGTGGTCTGGTCAAACTACTTCAGCCACGTTACTGTGACTCATCGCCTGCATATGGTATAGTGTTCCGTGTTTCTTAATTCAAATTGTTAATTAATTCTCTTCCCCCCCCCCTCCCCCCCAGGCCCCTTGTTCACGGCGGAGGTATGGGAGCAGTACGAGGTGTACCTGGATCAGTACCACGACGCTGTCAGGTGAGTGTTCTGGCCTGGTACTGGTGGCAGGTGACCAAGATTGGCTCTGGTATCTGGTACCTTGTCACTTCCTCATAGGCTTAGGGCCCGCGCAGGAATATCCCTGCAAAAAAAAAAAAAAAAAAAAAAAAAAATTTTTCTAAACATGTGGAATGATTTTCAATAACTTTTATCTTATCTTAAGTTCTTTCCATTTGTTTAGCTACCTCTACTGTAAAGGAGTATTTTCTTACTCTGAGGTTTATTCCAGCGTCCACTGTGCCGTCTCTTTGAATTTTTACTCCACTGAAACAGCGTGTCGCAACAGTATCTTGTACACAAAATACTGTGTACAAGATAAGAAGAACAAGGTTCTTCTCTTACTTAAGATAAGACAAACAAGATTCTTCTCTTTCCATTGATCAACAGATTATAGTCTTTGTGCCTCTTTGTAGGTCCGTTAAAATAGCATTATTTCTATGCATTAAGATAAATCATTAGAAAAAATCCTTACCAGCAACACCGAAATAATCGACATTGACACAGACAGTAATGTACTAGAGCTTCATAGCTGAAGCACTTGGCATCAAACACCCATTCACTTTATTAACAGCCAAATTTTACCAAGGTTGTCTTCCAAGCAGCACTACCAAGAGGTAAAAAGTGTACACAAACGGATAAAGTCAACAGTGTATATATTCATACCTGCATGATACACTGCTTGTTGACGTGTCGTAGTTTAAGATTCTCATAACGCCAGCAGCAGCAGCAGCGCCACGGTGGCCGTTGATCAAAACACACACACCGCGCCCACTATGATGGGGAAACATACGAAATATTTACATTTCTCGACACCATTTGTTAGCATATAAAAACAGATTTTACAGTTAATTTATCACAGTTAAAGACCAATTTTACTTTTTATTGCATATGATGTTTGAAAAAGGCACCCACTAAGACTGGCATAATTAAAGAAGAAAATTGCCCAACGTAGCAATACTTTAGTGAATTAGATGAATCAATTGGAAGTATATAAGCAGGCATAAGATGAGTGACGTTGACAAGGACTGCTGGGGTCAGCAGGACCTCTTACTGGGGTCAGGGCTGGGGTCACCAGGACCTCACACTGGGGTCAGGGCTGGAGTCACCAGGACCTCACACTGGGGTCAGGGCTGGGGTCACCAGGACCTCATACTGGGGTCAGGGCTGGGGTCACCAGGACCTCACACTGGGGTCAGGGCTGGGGTCACCAGGACCTCACACTGGGGTCAGGGCTGGGGGTCACCAGGACCTCACACTGGGGTCAGGGCTGGGGGTCACCAGGACCTCACACTGGGGTCAGGGCTGGGGTCACCAGGACCTCACACTGGGGTCAGGGCTGGGGGTCACCAGGACCTCACACTGGGGTCAGGGCTGGGAGTCACCAGGACCTCACACTGGGGTCAGGGCTGGGGGTCACAAGCACTTCGCACCCATTACTGGTGATTCACCACCTACACATCCGTTCCTGCACTTTTGTATCCTGTTATGAGAACTTGTGAGCGTGGCGTAAGAGGGTGGAGAAGGTGAGAGATAACAGACAGACTACCTACACGTGGAGAGTTCTAGCTGCCTCCTCATAGCTAGAACAAGTTTTATAACAGCTCCTCATAACTTTATAACAATTGCCACACTTATTATCACTGATAATTATCTGAATTTTCAGTTTAAAACATCTCAGGTCTTCAAGAAGAAATAATTCTAAATGGTATACATAGGCTACATATCTTAATGCTAAACTATAATAAGTTTTCAAGTGTCCGAGAGTGATGTTGTTACATCACTAATGCTAAGTGAAGAAACTCAAGAGGAATATATTCACGGAGACGTATACCCGTGTGTCTGTGTATATTCACTATGAGTTTACTGTAGTCCTGAAGTATGTTCAGGAAGCTGCCAATTTTGGACTTCATGGGCGATGACGTGGTGAACTTCAGAGAGCCTTGAGTGTAAGGATGTGTTGTGGGTGGCTGTGAGGGAGCAAGGGGTCAGGTTGGTGCTGTGATCAGCTGATGCTGGTGATGAGGGGAAGAGGGGGGGGGGAGAATATGTCGTCAGTATCATCAGGGAGGGAGGAAGGGGACACTGTTCCATGCCGTCCTTCCCTACTTTCCTTCCTCTTCCATCCCTGACACACAACTGGGAGCTCAGAGACTATTTCCCTCCTATTTTTTTTTGTTTACGTCCACTTCTCTGCTTGTCTACCTTTCTCTGTGCTTGTGCTCAGTCCCGTCTCTGTCTGATTCTAGGTTTGTCCTGTGTGTTGACAGTTCTGGTTTGACCTGTCGTCTTGGCCTTCTCCAAGTCTGCCTGTTCTCACCGTCTATATGTCCTTCCCGACTGTCTGTCCTCACAGTCTGTTTCCCCCTACCCATATGAATGTCGTTCTCCCGGTCTGTTTGTTGTTCTTACATCTGTCTGGGCTGTTCTTCCTCTGTCTCCCAGGGTTTTTGTCTGTGTCCAGCTCAGCTGTGTTTTGCCTGACGGCTGAGTGGACAGCGCTCGGGATTCGTAGTCCTAAGGTTCCGGGTTCGATCCCCGGCGGAGACAAACTAATGAGCAGAGTTTCTTTCACCCTGATGCTTCTGTTCATCTAGCAGTAAATTTAGCTATCTAGGAGTTGGACAACTGCTACGGGCTGCTTCCTGAGGATGTGTAACAAAAAGGAGGCCTTGTTGAGGACCGGGCCGCGTGGACGCTAAGCCCCGAAATCATCTCAAGATAAGATTTCAAGATAGCTCCTCGTGTGTCATGCGGTATTATCCCGCTTTGATGTATGTCCTGTAATGTCATGGTAACTGCTTCCCCAGGCACCCTTACCTGCCTTATTTCTTCTGTCCTTTCTCCTCCAGCTCATTCTACTATTTTGTCATTATTTCACTCTGAGTTGGAACCATGTGAATGCCTCTCTTCCTTTCCTACTTTCTGCACCCTTGCCAGGTCTTTCTTCTGAATTATTCTTATAAACTTCCTTCAGTTTCTTGTTAAACCTCTCAGACTTTGTCATGTTAGATCATTCAGTTCCTTCTCCAGCCTCATAATCTGGTCATTGACTAGTAATTCCTCCTGATACGTCAGTGGGGGATGGTTCTTGACCTTCACTTCAATGTAATTCTGGAAGTGTTGTTGTCTCCCTTCTGACCCCTGGTATATATATTTCAAGCTCTTCTACTCTATTTACCTCTGAACTTTGCTCTCAGTATTTTTTCAAGGCCTCCCTGTGCTTGTTTCTTGCTGTCTGGCTCCTCTTTTTGACATGGGTTTGTTCTTTTCTTTTGGTCCTCTTCCTGTTAATGTTGTGTGTCCGCTCTCTCCCGCCTCTACTACTCCGGGTGAGCTTGTCCTTCATATCATTTCATTATGATCTTTCCTGATTTTCATCTCTCCCCTTGTTCCGGGTGCATGTGTGCACACCTAATTGTGCGTGCTTGCCTAAATGCGTTCACTGAAATGGGATAGAAGAGTTGAACACTAGCTCCTGAACTCCGCCTTACCAGCTGTCGGTTGTGTAATGTTGTGATTGCCGACCTCCGTGTTTGTTGATATATCTTCATTTGAAACTTGTATTAGCCTGAATTATCTTCCCCCTCTAGTCTTTTCCAATTGTTCACTTCTCTTACTCTGAAAAGGTCCTTCCTAGAATCCCAGTGACACTTCTTTGTCTCAATTTTCCATTAATGGCTCCATGTTCTGCCTTACCTGGAAATAAACTGATTTCTTTAATCAATCATATCAATTCCCACAGATACTAATATTTCGTTTTCATATCTTCTCGATTTCATGTCCAAAATCATTTCTTCACATTACTTAACCTTTGTAGTCTTGGCAAGAGCCTAGTTGTATACCTCGAGAATTTTTAAAGTTTCATTTGATATTTCTTTAAGGTCCAACACTGCGAGGTTTATAAACGATACTTCTAACATTAACAGTTTCGCATATACTTTAGGCAGATGCGAGAAACACAGAGATGCGAACTCGATGTACCCGGGAACAATTAACATGCACAAAACACTAACTCGGTATCTAAATCTAGTCACAAAGGGTGTATTAATGTCGCCTCTTGAAATAAGTGAGCACACTTCTTCGAGTAGGTCATTAACACAAGTTTGAAATAGCAATGGTTCGAGGACCGAACTTTGCAGGTCCCCCAGTTTTATCATAAATAACACCAGCTGGACAAGTCATCTCTATGACCCTTTGTTTTCTGGCCTTAAGGCACTCCATTACCCTGTCCTTCAGGTATGTCATTGCTGCTTCGCCTTTCTGGTATGTACAGTTTGTGTGAAGGTGTTCTGATGACTGCACGAATGGTGGTGATGTGTTGTGTAGAGACGCGCCACAGTGGTGCCTCAATGTTTATGTTCTGGTAAGGCTTCAATGTTGCTGTTGTTACCAGTTGATGCAAGGGCGACGACGAAACCAGATGGGTTTTTAGAGTCAGACTTGACTCTTGGTGGCGAGGGCTGCATGTTGCGTTGATGGCCTCAGCTGATCGTTGCTGTGTTTTGTAACTAGGGTTACATTTTTTATGCATGATTATCCAGCCATCCTCCTGTTTTGGTAGTACTTATAGTAACGATGAGGACCATACTATATATACTGACCTACAACCAAATTAGAAAGTAGAAATCTGAACTATTAAGTTGGACAAAAAGAAAAATATTTTTTACTCGTGTTGCAAAGACAAACTAAACTAACCTTACTAGACCTAATACTATATCTGAGGCATAATATAGTACTAGTGTGTGCTATACTAGGTCTATGAATATTTAAGTTCTTGTTAGCCTCATTTTTTTAAGAATTCCTTACTAGTCAGTAGACTACTATCTAAAAGCTAAGTACGTACGAATTCGTGACTATTGACGATCGTTACAATAGGTACTGTCTAAACAGGAGGATGGGTTGGATTATCCAGGTTAGTTTAGTTCATTTATTATGCACCCCATACCCATCTTGTGGGCGGTAGTAGAAAGTGTTAAGAG